ATTCATTTGAGTGCTGGGGATGATTGTTCTGAGTTCCGACACGCAATGGCTGCAGAGATGCTCGTTGGCATGCCTGCCCCGCCACATTACAGTATGTGTTGACCCAATCCTAATCAATTGGGTCAGCGACAAAGTGACCATTTTCATAATAGCCTCAGGATACAGGTGTACAAAAGTATAAGAGAAAAGAGCGGAAGATTATTATTATTATTATTATTGTTGTTGTTGTTGAAATCAGAACAACAGAACCTGAAGTACGTCTTCCAATCCACGAAAGGGCTGTTAATTTTTGGAGATGAAATCAATGGCATAGCAGAGAGGGTCAACCACCCATCAAGAAACCAAAGTCTCCCTGCAAACCTCATTCAATGTTCATTTCTTCTTTGAAGAAAACTCCAAATGGTAAAGGTGTGTTTGGTTCGAGGAGGAGAGGGGGTAATGAAGGCTGAGAAGTTAAATGATGTATCCGAGCCCGACCCTTTCAGGCCCTTCCCCACGCCTTACACAATCATGGGAGCCAAAGGACTTACGTTTAAACATTATGATCCATTTTAGTGAAAATTCAAAGGTCTTTTAACCCGAAAGGCCAAAATAACTTTCGTTATTGACCTAAGGGTTCCGCTGGCCAACCCCCATTCCATCCAACCCAACCCCAAACATCCAAAAGTATTTTATTTCCTTTTGATATCCAAAATAAAGTCTCATTCATTTTCCCAACATTCACCCCTGGTCAAAAATAAGAAACCAAAACAGCCCCATTCATTTTCCCAACATTCACCCAACATGGTCCCTACTATGTTCCCTAGTCCAGCCCACTAAACAACCATAAAAGGCCAAGAGACACATGGTACTTTCTTAACCCTTTAACCACAAAATAAATCCTCCTATATGCAGCCAAAGTACCACACATCACTCTTTCCCTTTGTCCCCCCTGGTTGGCTGAATACATCCCCCAAAATCAGCCCAAAAGAATGCCATTCATTCCCTTTGGTTTGCCTTTCATAAGAGACCCTACAACCACACCCATCCCTGATTTTATTCCAATAAAAGGACCCAAACACATGGCTGATATTTTAAGGCTTTGAGAGAGGATGTTGCTAGGAAGCTTCCTCATGTTCACATTCATTGTATTGTGTATTATTTTCCCCTTCCCCTCTCCCTATATAATGTAGCCTTAGGGCAATGTGCATGGACAATAGAATCATATTAAAAACCTTTTACTCTTTGAGTATTCTTAAAATAGTGTGATGCTATTTTAGCCAAGTTCCTAATTTTATATCTTAAGAGTGGTTATCTTAAGTGTGAGGTATAGGTTCTAGTTATTTGATTGAGTGTGTAATATCTTGATTAAATATTAGAGTTTAACCCCAAGTTAATCTAGAGGTGAGCTTATCCTTTAGTATTAATTTGGCTCCAAATTAAGATAAGAGTGTGTTTATCTCTTATTCCTTATTTGGAATTTATCCCATCCTTTCTAAACCCATCCTTCATCCCTGATTTTCCACTCTTCTTCATAATATCAAAACCCAAAAAGAACTCCTTCACATTCCCATATTTTCATCCAGCCCATTTCCCCTTCATTATTCCAAAATTCCATCTCCATCATGGGTTTGATGCCTTCAATCAAAAGCATCAGCAATAGATTCTACCTCCTGCACCAGCACCAACCATAGTGGTACATCAAAACCAATTGTCTAAATATCATCTTAAAGAATCAAGAATGCATCCAAAAACCAATATTTGGCAAATAACTTGAATAACCACAAACAGGAAACCATGCATAAAAGGGCCCTATGCTTTCTGAAAAGACTAAAGCATGAAAGGGAGATAACATTATGATCATCCATGAAGGAGACACTGAAATTTAAAGAAGAAATCAATAGCATAGTGGAAAATAGGATGGCCACCAGCACTTCAAGAAGCCCTAATCTCTATGCATAAAAGTGTGTTTGGTTTGAGGAAAGGAAGCAATGAGTCTA